CTCTCTCTCTCTCTCTCTCTCTCTCTCTCTTGCTCTCTCTCTCTCTCTCTCTCTCTCTCTCTCTCTCTCTTTCTGTATGTCACTCATTTGATATTTCAGAGTGTATAAATGTGACAGCCTGTGACAGTCTGTGCCTGCTGGCTATAAACACTTATTTTTCATCCTCCTCCTGCATTGTCCTCCCCTTGTCTACACGGACATGTCTTTACCACCTAAATTACATTCTCAACCTTTAGCTACCATCTCTATTCTCTTACAGTCAAACCTATCTTTCTCTGTGTCGCTAAGCCCATATCTAAACTAACACTCACATTTTTATTTTAATAGCACAGATTTCACTAACAGCTGCTTTTTTTGTGGAAGGTTTCACTTGCAATGACTGCAGTATATGGTTGTCTCACCTACCTTAGTACAAGTCGTGCTGGATAAGAGTGTCTGCTAAATGACAAACATGTAATGTAAATCCTTGTGCCTGTGACCCTCAGGCTTAGTGAAATACAGGCACAAAGATACATTTACATTACATTTTGACTAGATAGTATACAGCTTATGTCAGAATTGACCAGAATTGACTTTCTAGGCGAACTTATGCAGCAGGTTAGCAGAATTAACGTAGCAGTTTAGGAGAATTAGGTTTAGGTTAGGAAAATAGTTAGGGTTAGCTAAAATGCAAACAATTTGACAGAAGCTGTTTCAATGTCTAGCCATGACCAGGCACAAGGTGTGGCGGCCATGCTGTTCCTGTGCCTGTCAGGTGTAGATGACCAGGCACAAGGTGTGGCGGCCATGCTGTTCCTGTGCCTGTCAGGTGTAGGCTACCTCTCCCACTCGAGTCACATGGGAGGGGCCTGTGCTGCTGGCTTATTTCCCTGGCAAATGTTGTCACCACCAGTTATGTTCCCCTCCCTCCCTCCCTCCCTCCCTCCCTCCCTCCCTCCCTCCCTCACTGTCACAGTCTCAAGCCAGAGCAGACAACTCCTCAGAGGATATAGGATGCACTAATGGAGGCCCCTGGAAGAAGGACCTTTGTCGCTCTGTGTTTCTACACTGCACTATTTACTCACTCAGGTAAGAGGAAGAAGAAAAACACATGTTTATTGAATGTAATTTCAGGAGAAATTCATTAAATGTTTTGCGAGTGTAACTAAAAGCGTTGCAATATGGTCCCACATCAACATCAACATTGACAATTATCTTTCATTAGTTTGATCATGATCGAGCCATTAGACTGTATTTGATTTGATCAGTTATTACGCACATAATAGAATGGTACTTATTTAATCATAGTGTATAGGACAGATATATGCATGTGTGTTATTGCAAAGCGTTGATGTCCGTGTTGGTCCATGATGATACTATGGTGGTTGACTAAGTTGTTACTACGTAGGTATGTTAGATTGCAGTAGCTACCGATATTTATGATCTGATTGCATGTGTTCATATGGGTTTTTTGGTTTGACCTTTATGGTCGTAATGAGGGGGATTTTAGCATTTCTGTAGTAAGCAGAAGAGGCAGGAATGACACACTGGAAAGAGTTCATCAACGAGGTCTCTGCTGACTTAGCTTGGAGTCTGTCTAATCAGGGACGGGGGACGGGGGACGGGGGCAATTTAGATGGTTCAGTCCATCTGGCATTTGCCAGAATTGCCCTATGGCCAGTCGTCCCTGCTGATGATAACAGATATCCAACCAATGTCACATGACCAGATAAGACCACCCCCTGATGCCCTAACACAACAATAGAGTTCACTTCAGAGACTGTTAGTGTGATCAACTTCACTTGAAAGGTCTTGTTTGTGTAATCAAGGAAGGAGGAGGGGGACACTTGATTGTGGTGTACCAGCAGCATTCAGCTGGCCAATGGTGCTGGTGGCCTTTATTTGGGATCCAAACAGAGGTGTCAACGGGCGGAGTGTGTGTTTACGAGTGTGTGTGTGTGTGTGTGTCAGTGAATACATCCCCTCACCTCCTCAGAGCCCGTTGTCTCAGTAATGTCCACTGTCTCTTATCCAGTGGTGAAAGTAGATGTCTTACCGGTACGGGACACCCAAGCATCTGCACAATTTTTCTGTTACAGCCTAGGTGTAGCCTAATCATAGAATGACATCTTGTATCCCTATTAATTTCATATGATCTCTGTGGGCATAGTAGACTAGGCCTAGTAAAGATTGGACATATCACCTTTAATATAATATGCCATTTAGCAGACGCTTTTATCCAAAGCGACTTACAGTCATGCGTGCATACATTTTTTGTGTATGGGTGGTCCCGGGGATCAAACCCACTACCTTGGCGTTACAAGCGCCGTGCTCTACCAGCTGAGCTACAGAGGACCACATGCAATCCTTCATTTAACATGTATTACCTTTTAATGTGGCATAAACACAACCAGTCATGATGTTTTCATCTGATTGTCTAACAATCACTTCAATCACTTCATTAAAGCTAGGCTACCTGTGCATGTTAGTCCACTCCAAAGATTATTCCAGCATCCAAACAGTGCACTGTGCACCCGCAATTTGATGAATGGAAAGAGACATCTGTTACAAAACACCTTCATGTGTAGGCCTTACTCCTGTAGCCTGAATTTATGCATCCACTGCTTTCCGTGTGCGGTAACGTTAAATTATGGTGTAATAGCCTATAGTTTTCCAGGCATTTTGTGTTAATTATTGTGATGGGCTCACGTTTTACCATTAAGGCGTATACCCCACTATTTATTTTGCCAGGACGTCGTACCGGACTGTACTAGCTTACTTTCACCCCTGCTCTTATCAACCCAACAATCCCGGGCTTGTTTAGAGACAACAGTGGCAGCAGTGGGTTCAGCACACTCTTGTCCTGCTTATTATCAAGCAGACTAGTCTCATAGACTAGACGTAACATACTGTAGTAAACATAAATCCGGGACACAGTATATGTTACGTTAGGTATAGTTGGAAAAGAAAAGGAGAGCCGCACACTCTAGGAGCTCAGATGCAATCATTCTATAGCCAACATTTTGTATAATGACAAACACTGCAGGTCACTAGTTTATATAGTTTCAAAGGACACACAGGTGTCTGTAATCATGGCCGGCTGTGGCTTGATTTCATTGGTTGATTTACAGATATAAATAGAACATATACAAATCATGAATGGATAACATACGATCAGAAATACAATTTGGCTACATAGGCCTACAAACATTATTTACAATGGATAGCAAAAACACAATAATCACAAGAATGGCTTCAGATCAAACTCTACGTTGAGACCGAAGTGTGCATGCAATGGTCTTTAAATTAAAGATCCAGGCGGCCTCTCACGTTAACAATAAATTGTCGAGGTCACCCCCTCTCCTAGGGAGGGTGATGTGTTCGATGCCAATATAGCTAAGGGACAAAATATAGTGGTACACTTCCAAAAAGTGGGCCGCAACTGGGTACGTCGAGTGTCTGAACCTAATGGTGCTACGATGTTCAGAGATTCGTAGTTTTAGTTTGCGCTTCGTTTTGCCCACATAAGGTTTACCACAGGGATAAGTTATAGATAAATAACTGCCTTAGTGGAGTACGTGATAACACCTTTCATTGGGATCGGCTTTCCTGTTTGGGGGTGTTTGAAGGATCTACATTTGTAAGTGCCATTGCATTGAGCACAGCCATTACACTTGTAGTTTCGATCCAGTAGAGGCGCAAGGAGACGTTAGAGGTATTTTGTGGTGGTAAATCAGAGTTTACCTCTGCCCCGCGAGAATACGACCAAGGGAGGGTCCGAAAACACATTACCAATACTGTCATCGGATCTTAAAATGTGCCAATGTTTGTGAACGATTTGGTATGGTTACATAAGATAGAATGTTACTTTTAAGGCAAAAATTAAAGGAGGGTGGTTGGTTGGGCATATAATGCGAATGTCTAGCAACCCAAAGGTTGTGTGTTCAAATTTCATCATGAACAACTTTAGCATTTTAGCTGATTAGCAACTTTTGAGCTACTTTGCAACTACTTAGCATGTTAGCTAACCCTTCCCCTAACCCTAACCCTAACTTCAACTCTTTAACCTAACTCCTAACCCTAACCTTAACCCTTTAACCTAACTCCTAACCTTAACCCCTAACTCTTAGAGCTAACGTTAGCCACCTAGCCACCCAGCTAACATTAGTCACAACAAGTTGGAATTTGTAAAAATGTTTTGGTACGATAAATTTTTTTACAATAGAAAACATGCACATACAAACGACAGCATACAGATGCACACAAACATCAACGTCATCACACCTGCCCAGACCCACCTGCTCACACCCCCATCTCCAGGGCTCGCATCACTCTCCGTCCCATGGCTTCAAACTGCACCATTTGGTTTCTATTCGTTGCCCATGCACTTTCAACATTTAGACAATAAAGCATTTGACCTTTCCATTATGTTAACGATGGAGGATTGGTTGATTTACAGTTTTTAAGTATACGTTTTTTCAAGATTCTTGGAATTCACAACATCATAAGTTTAGCAAATTCTTAACATATTGTACGAATTGCAATTCGTAACATACAGTATCATACGAATTGTAATTCGTAACATACCATACGAAATGGAGTGTCTTGGATTTGCGTACAGAATAATACAAAATGCTCTGAGACCAGTTTGATTCAACAGGCCTTCCTGGACCTTCTGCTGGAGTAAAAACAGTAAACACAGACAGGCACACACACACACACACACACACACACACACACACACACACACACACACACACACACACACACACACACACACACACACACACACACACACACACACACACACACACACACACACACACACACACACACACACACACACACACACACACACACACACACACACACACACACACACACACACACAAACACTCCCAGTGATGGCCAAGCTGCTACCCGTGGCCTGCAGGCCACTCGGAGTGTGACATGGATGGGGGGAGGCTGTTGTATTGTTGAAGTTTAGGACATAACACCAGGCACACAGTTAATCTATTGTGATGAACAACAGTGACGTCCACAGGAGGGAGAGAGAGGGAGAGAGAGAGGGTGGGAGGGAGGGGGAGAGAAGGGATGGAGGTGAGGGGAGGAAGGGGGAAGGAGGGAGGGAGGGAGAGAGAGGTGGGGGAGGAAGAGAGAGGGGTGGGGTGAGGGGCAAGAAAGAGGGAGGGAGGGGGAGGGAGAGACAGAGACAGAGAGGGAGGGAGGGGGGGAGGGAGGGGGAGGGAGGGAGGGAGGGAGGGAGGGAGAGGGGGGATAAAAGACAGAGGGCGTAGAAACAGAAAGGGAGAGAAAGTGATACGGGAGCGGGGAGAGAGAGGGAGAGGGAGGGAGCGGGGAGAGAGAGGGAGAGGGAGGTGGAGAAAGAGAAAGAGAAGGGGGGGGGTGAGTGTATTTACCTGTATACCGCCTAGCTACCTGCCTGCTGCTGCTTAATCTGAGCTGCAACAACACACTTACAGTATGACATCACCTAGTCCCTTCCTGATCATAGAAACCCAACCCTGCCATTGGCAAAATATCTGCAAAACTTTCCGTTTGTTACTTTGAGAAAGAAAGACAATGTGGAAGACACCAAACCCAATGACAGGAAATGGCAGTTCACGAACATAGTCCATTCCCTATTGCAGGGTTCTTCAATTCCAGTCCTGGAGGGCCGAAACACCTCTGTTTTTCATCCTCTCCTTCTAATCAGGGGCTAATTCAGACCTGGGACACCAGGTGAGTGCAATTAACTACCAGGTAGAAATAAAAAACAGAAGTGTTTCGGCCCTCCAGGACCGGAATTGAAGAACCCTGCCCTATTGGATGTCGTACCACAAAGATGATTGTTTTTCTGTCAGTTATCAGTGTGCAAAATCCTCATGGGAACTGCTTGCTACCGTAACGTTAACAGAGCAAAGTAGGTGTACAATATTCAACGGCTGCATCATACAGCGTAAAGATGTTTGCTTTAATACCAGTTAGTAGTAACAAGACATGAGGCTTGTCATTGGCTCTAAGAATTGGGTTAATATTTGCTTTCCTCAGGACAGAGTTCTGGATAAAGTAAATGGAATGATAGCATGCCACAGATGTGTCAATCATGTAAACATAGGAGGGTATCTCAGTCTAACAAACTCTTTCTGCTCTAAGAAGCGCAGAATGAAAATAAATCTGCACAGGCTGTAGACTGCCATCTTTACTTTTCATGTTCATTAAAAGATCAGGGATCTTATTCATAAAGCATCTGGGAGCAGGAGTGCACAATCTTATTCATTATGATCGAAAAGGCAAAACTGATCCTTGATCAGCACTCTTACTCTGAAACGCTTTATAAACCTGTTTTGTATGCACCAGCACCTTCATGTGTGACATGTTTACACAACTCCCCCCCCCAGAAACATATAACACTAGGTACATCTATAGTGGAAGGCTAATCAGCCAGGCCTCCTCTAATGAGAAACATTGCAGGCTTTAAGGTAGAAAACACAGTGGCCCAACACATGAACAGGTACACAAACTAGAAACGTTGCATTTGTTATTAGTGTGATAGAGTCCACCCTCTGAGACTAATTTGTTAAAACTTTCTCTCTTTCTCTCTCTATACCTCCCTCTCTCTCTCCTTACCTCATCTATACCTCCCTCTCTCACCCCTTCCTTACCTGCTCTATAATGCTCTCTCTCACCCCTTCCTTACCTGCTCTATACCTCTCTCTCTCACCCCTTCCTTACCTGCTCTATAATGCTCTCTCTCACCCCTTCCTTACCTGCTCTATACCTCTCTCTCTCACCCCTTCCTTACCTGCTCTATACCTCTCTCTCTCACCCCTTCCTTACCTCCTCTATACCTCCCTCTCTCACCCCTTCCTTACCTGCTCTATAATGCTCTCTCTCACCCCTTCCTTACCTGCTCTATACCTCTCTCTCTCACCCCTTCCTTACCTGCTCTATAATGCTCTCTCTCACCCCTTCCTTACCTCCTCTATACCTCCCTCTCTCACCCCTTCCTTACCTGCTCTATAATGCTCTCTCTCACACGTTCCTTACCTCCCCCTTCAGAAGTAAACTCAGAGTTCGTCCATGTTCCGGCCGTGCTCCATGGCGTCAAAGGGAAGTCCCTCCTCCTCTCCGTGGAGACTCACTTCCAAAATAAGGATGTTGAGATCCAGGGCAGCTGGTACCAGACCCGGCCGGGGGGCCCCAAAACCCTCCTGGTGACCTTCCACAACCATTCAGCCATCATGGTGGCCTCGATGAGACACAGGAACCGCTTCTCCTTCCAGCCCCCCAATGCCTCTCTCCTGATCCCCAGGCTGGACAAGGCGGCGGAAGGGGACTATCACCTGGACCTGGACATCCACTTCCCCCAGAGACAGGAGCTTGTCAGGGTTGAGAGGACCATCCATGTCACCGTAGATGGTGAGTTAGTGGTGGACACCAGGGAATCTTGTGTCATACTCTATGTTAGCTTCGTTGATTGACTAGCTATACGTCTTATATCTGTTGTGTACATAGGCTGATCATTGTGGAATGATGCATGTATGGAACATTTCTGCCTGGCTGCATCAATACAATTCCCATGTACTTGGAAAGACTTACAGACCTTTCCCTTAAGTTGTTTAATGGCCTGCATTACAGTACTGTTCCTTTCATCATCAGTATTCTCACTGTTCCATCTCTCCCCTTCTCCAGTACCTGTGTCCACCCCTGTTATCCAGAAGACCCCATCTTCTACAGTCATTGAGGACAAGGAGAACGTGACGTGGACCTGCTGGGTGGAGAATGGGACCAGGGTCCAGTACCAGTGGCTGAGGAACAACATGCCCCTAGATGCTAGTGATCGCCATCAGTTCTCCCACAATAACTCTACTCTGGTGATAAGCCCTGTGAGGAAGAAGGACATTGGACAGTACCACTGCCTAGCCAGGAACCACATCAGCCAGAGACAGAGCCACACACAGGACCTCAGTGTATTCTGTAAGTACTGTAGGTCTGTCTAAAACAGCACACCACTGTAGGTCATGTCTAAAACAGCACACCACTGTAGGTCTGTCTAAAACAGCACACCACTGTTAGTCTGTCTAAAACAGCACACCACTGTAGGTCTGTCTAAAACAGCACACCACTCTTGGTCTGTTTAAAACAGCACACCACTGTAGGTCTGTCTAAAACAGCACACCACTGTAGGTCTGTCTAAAACAGCACACCACTCTTGGTCTGTCTAAAACAGCACACCACTGTTAGTCTGTCTAAAACAGCACACCACTGTTAGTCTGTTTAAAACAGCACACCACTGTAGGTCTGTCTAAAACAGCACACCACTGTAGGTCTGTCTAAAACAGCACACCACTGTAGGTCTGTCTAAAACAGCACACCACTCTTGGTCTGTCTAAAACAGCACACCACTGTTAGTCTGTCTAAAACAGCACACCACTGTAGGTCTGTCTAAAACAGCACACCACTCTTGGTCTGTCTAAAACAGCACACCACTGTTAGTCTGTCTAAAACAGCACACCACTGTAGGTCTGTCTAAAACAGCACACCACTCTTGGTCTGTCTAAAACAGCACACCACTGTTAGTCTGTCTAAAACAGCACACCACTGTAGGTCTGTCTAAAACAGCACACCACTGTAGGTCTGTCTAAAACAGCACACCACTGTAGGTCTGTCTAAAACAGCACACCACTGTAGGTCTGTCTAAAACAGCACACCACTGTTGGTCTGTCTAAAACAGCACACCACTGTAGGTCTGTCTAAAACAGCACACCACTGTAGGTCTATCTAAAACGGCACACCACTGTAGGTCTTTCTAAAACAGCACACCAATGTTAGTCTGTCTAAAACAGCACACCACTGTAGGTCTGTCTAAAACAGCACACCACTCTTGGTCTGTCTAAAACAGCACACCACTGTTGGTCTGTCTAAAACAGCACACCACTCTTGGTCTGTCTAAAACAGCACACCACAGAGCTTGGTTGGGGAAGGAAAATGAATGGCAACTTTCCGTACTGTATTGTCCCCATTTTAAAGAAGTGTAAATACATCCTCCTGGCCTTCTATGAGTAATCCCAGTATGTAAATCCAAACCATATCAAATTTGCATGTCTGACAGAGGTCCACTGTCCTGTGGCGATACTATCATTGCCGTATTGCTATCGTGACACTGTTGGGTTAATGAAACCAGGCTGGTCGTGGCAGGTTTGGAGATTGTTGGAGATTTTTATCAACAAAGGGCTACAATTATATACATTATTCTGTTATGTTGATGGCTGCTGACAACACACTTCAAGTTGGGATTGCAGAGACGGGTAGAAACTGAGAGAAGATAATTACTGATAATATACAGATGTATGACTGTAAGTCGCTTTGGATAAAAGCGTCTGCTAAATGGCATATTATTATTATTATTATTATTTCGTTGATACATGGTTATTCTTCGTCTTACTAAGGAGGACCCCAATGGTCCCTAGGCCCCACTTTGAGAAGCACTTCCCTAAGACATTTCAGTATCACATTGCCATTGTCATTTCTGAGGATTTGAGATTTCATTATAGGCCCCGTCTAATGCATCCAGTTTGGTTTCATATCAACAAACTCGATGTGCAAGCCAATATGAAGACCACAGTGACTAGTAGCATATCCTAGCAACTGAGGCACACAGCGCTAATGTCAGCTTTGTTTTCAATATATGACAGCCATTTTACAATGGCAAACCGCCTTCGCTAGAACCTGAATGTTTGAGAGGCCATATGGCCTTGCTTCAAGCTAACACACTGATAACAAAAATAAATGCAAATACAGTAATTGCCACCTGTTTGGCTAAAGGACGTGAGAAGACCTGGACTTCAGAAAATGACCAACACATTCGTGGCTAAATCTACTACTAGTCCCTGTAGCAGTGAAACCACGCTATGTCTTGAAACCTGATTTGTAGTGGCGTAAAGCTTAATAAAGAGCAGTGATACTAGCAAGGGCAGTGTGTGGGTTTCTTCTTTTTCTCATGTTACCATGCACCTGCAACAAAGATAGCTCAAATGTGCGAGCGCCTTTTGAATTTTAGTGATGAAGAGCCAAAAGCAGCCTTACAATAGGACGACATGTTTGGTCAGTTAATGAGATTCTGAATTATTGATAATAAAACAATTTATCTTAGCTGCCACAGTCCCAATAGAGTTTGAAGTTGATCATAGTGTTCCCAGAGGGCTGGTTTGTGACAGTATGAACCCCTCTGATATCTTCCAGATGGCCCTTACAACCTGGCTGTAAAGTCTGACCATGGCCTGAGGACCGGGGAGGTCTTCACAGTGAACCCTGGTGAGCTGGTGTTCTTCAACTGTCAGGCCGACTCCAACCCTCCCAACAGCTGTATGTGGATCTCCAAGACCAACAATGCCACTGAGGTCATCACTGTGGGACTGCGCCTGGAGGTCACGTCATACAAACTGGCCCAGGCCGAGGAGTTCCTGTGTAGGGCCTTCAACAACGTGACCCAGAAGCAGGACGAGACCCAGTTCACCCTGGTGGTGGCCAGCCTCGGGACAGGTGGGTAGAGCTGGACTGGGCTGCTGACCTGGGGTGCTGGAGGGAACGTAGGAGGGACTGGGAACACACACATCCACACACACACACACACACACACACACACACACACACACACACACACTGGCCTGGGGTGCTGGCATTGCATAGGTGGGACTGGGAATCAGGTCTGGGTACACACTGTGCACCTTATCATGCCAGGAAGACCACGAAGAAGAAAAGATGAGACGTAATGTCAGAGGGCCAAATGTAACCGACATTTAAAACCTAAATGGTTTATATTGTATAACTTTCTAAATGTGAGCAGTAGCCTTGCTTGCAGAGAGTCCAAAGTAAAGGTACCTTTAGAACAGAACCAGGTAATTCACCCACACATGGTGAATCATAAATATCGTATTTCTTCTCAGTTGCTAAGTGCCTGGCCTGTGTAAAAGTCCACTGGCTCCATGGGAGAGTAAACAGAGAAAAAGAACAGCTGGTCTCATTGTTGACCACGTTTTACTGCATGTGTGAAGTTTCTATGTGTAGGTGGTTTCAGTCTCCAAATGGACAAACATACACACAATCTTGGCTACTGTATAGCAAATGACATATCCTATTGAGAAGTATCTAAAAATTAAATGAACAAACTAAACATACTGTGTCCACCAGGTCTGAGTTGACAAGTTTACTCTCAGCTTGGACTCTCTTCTCAAATGAGTAGCATTTAGTGTGTGTCTGGGAAACCGGCCCTGCCTAAAGTTTTGAAATGTTATTCTGAATGTAGAGTTGTTCTCTTTTATTTGTAGGAAAGGAGAGATATGTCCAGGAGAGCAGCTCATTCTCTCCTCTGGCTGGCATCACTCTGTCCTGTCTGTTCATTACTGGCTGTATGTTACTGGTCTACTTCATAAAGACCTGTCATCGTCCCAAGAGAGGTAGATGTTATGATTATCTTCATAAGGACTCAGGGTGACAGCAGCAACTGTGACCACAGAACACACACAACTACTGTAGACACTAGATTTTGAAGTTTGTTCACCGTACAGTAAATGTAAATAATCTGCAAATGCTATGTCAAACTGAAACAGGATCTAGGATAAAATAATGTCTTCTGACTCTCCATATAATTTTTGTTATTGATGAAGAGCAAAAAGTATCATCTTAAAACCTCTACTGTTTATTTTACAGTTCTCATGAACATATATAACAGGTAAGAACATTAGTGATCACAGCTTACACGTGAATAAAGCACCTTTGTCTAGTTAGCCTACATGCAGTAAAGGGATGTAATTAAAGTTTCTTTGCCTCTCCCATGCAGACCTTTGACAGAACAGAAGCGCCCACACCGTTCAGGTAAGCTCCCTCTCCACCTGCACTGTTTACTTTATAGCTTATACCCTTACATTCCTGCCTGTTGTCAGGCACTGTCGTGTACATAGCCCTAGACAAACAATACTCTTCATAAACCCTTCACTAACATAGAACAATTACAGTAATCATACTTGTTTACCTTGTACAGGTATATTAGTCCATTAGCTTTGTTAATAATCTCTTTACGTTTCAGTTGGATTCGTCTGTGCTTTAGTGAACTAAGTTCAATACATTTAACCATGGTGGGGCAGTATTTGGTTTTCCCCAAACCAAAAGTGACAGGGACTAAATCAAATAGTCTACTAGGAACAGGAAACAGGAAGTAAGTGGAGAGAGGACAGAACACAGACAGGTGAAGATATCAACTATTAACTACATTGTATTTGCAGGTCATGAAGACGCAACTGAAGACTTTGGCATCTATGAATTCGTCTCTATACCTGGGAAAATGGAATCTACACAGGTATGTTGTAGGTCTTGCAACAATGCAGCTTGGTACAAAATTCCTAGTTTTCTGTCGGAACACCTCTTTCATATTGTAGTGACCCTTGCTAATGAGCCCATGTTACAATCCCCCCCATATGGGTTAATGCTATTGGTGGAATGCGTAGCCTGTTTGCCTTTCACACGTGCGACCCGGGTTCCATTCCCACCCCCTCTGTTTGCTATAACATGTAGTGTCCCTGAATGTGTTTGTTTTCATTTCCCAGGCATCAAGCAGATCTCTGGTACACCTGGAGTCTGTCCAGGATTTGCATACCACCATCTATGATGTCATCAGGCACATCCCTGAAACTCCCACGCTGGCTACCCAGAGCCTGCTGTTGAAGCAGTGTGAAGCCTAACCAGAGACCAGAATATTATTAAAGATACTTTCTGAGTCCCAAATGGAACCATATTCTCTATATAATGCACTATGGGCACTGGTCAAAAGTAGTGCACTACATAGGGAAAAGGGTGCTATTTGGGACACACACCCCAGTCTGTGACCATTTTGTATATGAACTCCAGTGAGGTTTTCCTCCTGACAAGTGTACATACCTTCACCAAAGTCCCAAGCACTTCTCTGAAATCCCATGGACATTATTCATCAATGGATGAGCTTTAATGTGTCAATAAGATATACTGTATTGATCTAATGGAATCTAAGATATTTACACTACAAGAACATATGGTACAGTTCCCACGTCTTACTTACTATTTTAAAATACTGTATTTATTTAATTTAAAGTACAATGGTGTCCTTTGAGATCTCATGAATATGTTTTTCTCTTAAAAATGTATTTATATTCAATGTGCTATTCAAGCTCTCTCTGGAAGTGGGCAAGTATATTTGGATGAATTAATTATCACATTACATGCGAGATACTGTCTGATGGCTGTTTTGTCAAACATAATTTTTCAGCATGTAAATACATCTATTCTACAGTACACTGCAATTACTTATTTTTTTTTCAAGAACTTACATTTTGTTTTACTGAATAAGCCCTATTTATTTCCATGTAAACGGGTTGATGGTCCTCTCTTTCTGAATGTAGCATTTTTTATCTCGACATTGTCAAATACACTCCACCGGAGGTTGAAATGCCAGATGTGCTGTTGCCTGTCTGCAGAGTATTGTACAGTTTCCAGTTACAGATATGTACTTTTTGTATTTTAATAAAGATTTATAACAATTTGATTAGACTCAGATAGAGCAGCAACTTTCCATAATTCATTATATGATAAATGTTTTCTGCCTCCCATAATGTCATAAATGTATAACTTTAGTGGTTTTAGGTGGGTGTCAGTTAGCCTAGCGGTGAGAGAGGTAAGCCAACAACAGGAGGGTAACCAGTTCAAATCCCAGGGCTGATGGGGAAAAATCTGTCAGGAAGTGTGCTGGCAACCGGAGGGTTGCTGAAATCAAATCCTACATGCCATTGCCTTGAGCAAGGCACTTAGCTCCCAGTATGGCACCTCTCCATAACCTACACTACCAGTGAAAAGTTTGGACACACCTACTCATTCAAGGGTTTTTCTTTATTTGTAAAAACATTTACATTGTAGAATAATAGTGAAGACATCAAAACTATGAAATAACACATATGGAATCATGTAGTAACCAAAAAAGTGTTAAACAAATCAAAATATATTTTATATTTGAGATTCTTCAAATAGCCACCCTTTGCCTTGATGACAGCTTTGCACACTCTTGGCATTCTCTCAACCAGCTTTATGAGGTAGTCACCTGGAATGCATTTCAATTAACAGGTGTGCCTTCTTAAATGTTCATTTGTGGAATTTCTTTCCTTCTTAATGCATTTGAGCCAATCAGTTGTGTTGTGACAAGGTAGGGGGGTAAATGCTTCACAGAGTTCAAGTAAAACACATATCTCAACATCAACTGTTCAGAGGGGACTGTGTAAATCAGGCCTTCATGGTCGAATTGCTACAAAGAAACCACTACTAAAGGACACCAATAATAAGAAGAGACCTGCTTGGTCCAAGAAACACGAGCAATGGACATTAGACCGGTGGAAATTTGTCCTTTGGTCCGGAGTCCAAATTGGAGATTTTTGGTTGAAACCGCCGTGTCTTTGTGAGACGCGGTGTGGGTGAACGGATGATCTCCGCATGTGTAGTTCCCACCGTAAAGCATGGAGGAGGAGGTGTTATGGTGTGGGGGTGCTTTGCTGGTGACTGTGATTTATTTAGAATTCAAGGCACATTTAACCAGCATGGCTACCACAGCATTCTGCAGTGACACGCCATTCCATCTGGTTTGGGCTATCATTTGTTTTTCAACAGGACAATGACCCAACACACCTCCAGGCTGTGTAAGGACTATTTTTCCAAGAAAGAGAGTGATGGAGTGCTGCATCAGATGACCTGGCCTCCACAATCCCCTACCTCAACCTAATTGAGATGGTTTGGGATCAGTCAGACGGCAGAGTGAAGGAACAGCAGCCAACAAGTGCTCAGCATATGTGGGAACTCCTTCATGACTGTTGGAAAAGCATTCCAGGTGAAGCTGGTTTAGAGAATGCCAAGAGTGTGCAAAGCTGTCATCAAGGCAAAGGGTGGCTATTTGAAGAATCTCAAATTTGTTTAACACTTTTTTGGTTACTACATGATTCCATATGTGTTATTTCATAGTTTTGATGTCTTCACTATTATTCTACAATGTAGAAAATAGTTAAAATAAAGAAAAACCCTTGAATGAGTAGGTGTGTCCAAACCTTTGACTGGTACTGTATGTATGTGTGTCTTTCGGAGGGGTTGGGTTAAAAACAGAAGTCAAATTTCAGTTGGACAACAATATAATCTTATTTTGTTGTGAAAGGTTGTCCTTTATTCTGGTAGTGAATGCAGCTCTATTTAATTGTGTTACTGGTCTGTTCTAGTCTGATCAGGTCTGGCCATTCTAGTCTGTTCTGGTCTGTTCAGGTCTGGTCTGATCAGGTCTGGTATGGTCTGATCAGGTCTGGTGTAGTCTAGTGTGGTCTGGTCTGGTGTGGTCTGGTCAGGCCTGGTCTGATCAGGTCTGTTCTGGTCTGTTCTGGTCAGGTTTGATCAGGTCTGTTCTGGTCCGGTGTGGTCTGATGTGGTCTGGTCTAAATAGGTCTGTTCTGGTCTGGTGTGGTGTGGCGTGGTCTGGTCTGGTTAAAGAGAGGGA